TTTAGGAATCCTATTAGTATAATTATTTTGGGGCATAGATATTAGCCTTGTAATCCTATTATTTTTAGGATATACTTCTTAAAAAATTTCTAATACTAATTTAATTCGAAAACGTATTATATTGTCCAAATCCATTTAGAAACAAGAGAGCTTATATTATATTTTATTATTATTATTATTATTAAAGCACGAATATAATATTGGCATACCAAAATAGCCCTAACATATTAAACATAAGAACTCATAGAGAAAGGATATAGCTGTAATAATTATTTTTAGACTACAATAACTTCTATGTTAATTTTATAATATTTAAGATTTTAATTTAATACAATCTTGTCTATTGAATTCTTATTAAAAATATGCAGGAAGGTTTAATAAAACCAATTTCATAAGAATCCTCCATATTGGTAATACATTACCCCTCTATAATATTCAATACCAAAAAGAAGAAGTAATGCTAAACGGACTGCATAAAGCATTGAAATTGAGAAAAAATTTCTACAATAATATATTATTATATTATATTTGAACTGCTTTCCTACTCAAATAAAAAAATTATTAATAATTTTTTCGTGCAATATAAAAAAATATACCTAATTATTAAAGAACAACTAAGAGATTTTTTTAGAATATAAATGTGTGAGAAAAAAAGAAGAAAAAGGTTGGTAAGAGCCAATATCACTGATAATTTTGCAAACATAAAGATCTAAAAGTGGAATGCATCGATCTTTTTACTATTTGAAAATAAAATTTATGGTGAGTAAAATTATAATCACGGTTAAATATTCAAACACAGGGAGAACTAATATTAAGAATCTAAATCAACAGAAAATAAATTATATTTTATGTTAAACCCAAATAATCGAATTTTTTAATTAATTATTTAGCAAGAGAATCCAATTAAATTATTTTTAAAATTCATCATACGAGTAAAATCCAAATAACTGTCACAAATATATCAAATCAGAGCAATAGTGCTAAATTTATAAGGAAAGCAAAAGTGATAATATGGGATGAAGCGTTTTTGGCTAAGCGTCAAATGATTGAAACAATCGCCCAGAGTTTTAGAGATATATTGGATATCGATGAATCATTTGGTGGAAAAGTAATTGTTTGGGAGGTGATTTATGTCAAGTATGATCAATAGTTCCAAAATTGACCAAAGCAGAACAATAAAAGCTAGCTTGCCAAAATTATACTTATGGTCTCAAATGAAAAATATTCAAATGACAAGAAATATAAAAGTAAGAACATATCCAACATTCAATGACTTCTCGCTTCGTGTAGGAAACGAAGTAGAGCATCCAATAAAAGATCATTTGATTCTTCTAGAACACTTGGTTATCAACCCCAATGGTAATAGTAGTGCATTTAATAGGGGAAATATTTTTATCATTAGACTAAAATGTAATTTGTACAAATTACACGATAGAAATTAAAGAGTTATCTTAGATAGCATAAATGAA